TTCCCTTAGAAGAGATCCCTGACACACAGGCTGTGGGGTTCTTGGGGGCACTGAATGCCTGTTTATTTACCCTACTGTGTGCTGGGCCCGGGCCCGGGCCCAGGCCCAGGGGAGGCCTGGAAACCATGCTGGCCAGCCTTGGTAGCTCCAGCCGTCCATGGTGCGGCCTGCAGTGTGGCCCTAAGAGGCCACCAGAGTTGGCCCAGGCCCTGGTGGTGGTGCACTGGGCTCTTCCTCGTTGTAGATGAGAGTCGAGGGTGGAAGGAGCTGGATTGCCACCTGGAAGTAAAGGGACAGGCATAGAACACCCTTTGCTCCCAGGACGTCAGACCGCAGGATGGAGGTGAGGACTGGGAGGACAGATCCAGCTGTGCTACCAGTCTTCACAGGCTGGCCATGGCTTCTGCAAGTCCCTGTTCCTGTCCACAGTGCTAGGAAGAGCACCAGGAGCTGAGATCGGTGGGGCTGGGCCAAGGAGGGTGGGGACAGGTTAAGACAATAGAAACATCCAAGAGCCAGACCCCAGATTTGGAAAACTTATAGCCTAGTGGGGCACAGCAGCACATACCCAGGTGCAGGGGCACAGAGGGGGCGGGTGGGGAGAGAGGAGTCAGGGAAGACAACATGCAAGACAAAAAAGAGTTGTTCATGTCAACAAGAGGATCAGGGCTACATGTGCCCATGAAGAGGGGACAGAAGGTCCTCCACATGCACAGACACAGCAGCCGGGCTGAGCTGCCACAGCAGCCATCCTGACACAGGACAGTCAGGGCTGGGGCGGGGCGGCGATGCAGCTGGACACAGGCAGGGTCACATCTGCACTGAGGGCCCACTTCCCAAGGAGGCTGGACTTTATTGTGAGGGCAGTGAAGGACTTTGGGCCAAGGAGGGACAGAATCTGATCTGTGGCTGAGGGACCAGCCTGAGGTTCCTAAAGGCAGTGCCTGGCTCTGGAGATGCAGGTCCTGTGTGTGATTCCAATGGTGGCATAGAGTGGCAAGGAGAAGGTGGACTCCAGATCCACTCAGCAGGTGGGGCCTCCGGGGTCAGGCCTGAGGAAAAGCTGGACTCTGGAGGTGGAGTGGAAGGTGGGAAAGAGAACACCTCCCAGAGAGCTGTGTGTTCACTGCTGCATAGCAAGCCATCCACAGTGGGAATTGCCTTCCACACACAAAATGAAAATGCCGAGGAAAGCAGTGGCTGGTGTTGGTCCAACAGTTATCAATGCCTGGTCAATGTCTTTGCTATCTCCTCACACTAGTCCGGCCATGATGTCCTTGTTTAAGGCTGGAGGAGGAGAGGGCAGAGTGGTGGATGTGCTGGTATCTGCCCAGGTCACCATTTCAGGTGCATGGACCCCCTAGCCCTGGGGAGAGCAGTTGCCACTGACTCCTTGGGCGTCCCCATCCCTGGAAGTGACCTAGCACCGATGACGCTGATGTTGGAGGCAAAGACTCTGCCCTCGTGATTCAGGCGGGACAACTCTGCATGGGCAGCCTGCTCATTGAGCCAAGGCTGCAACCTCACTGCAGGCCAGATCCTCCTGTGATTGTTCTACGTTCCTCACCTGTCCCAGGTTCATTCTCCCCAGAGGCTCCTCAGTAAACCTGCACACACAGCCCCAGGCTCAGATTCTGTCCCCAGGAACTTAATTTAAGACAGCCAGCCATGTCTGACCCCTTCATCAGGAAAGCAAATATTTCGCAGACCCCCTAGCCCCGCCCCATCTCCAGCTGATGTCTGCTTCCTTCTCAGTGGCCAGAATTGAACCCTCACAAATAGCAGGATCAAAGGAGCAACAAAGAAGCCAGAAATAGGTGTCAGGGACCTTGCCTGGCACACACCTTAATTTATCAGCCTTTAGTGAATACAAAAGCAGGAGGAAAGTGGCTCAGGGCTGGGTGACCTTGGGATGGCATTCTGCATATTTTAGTAAACGGGTCATATTTTCTGTTTTCCATGCTTTGAAAACTTTTCCTTAGGCTAAGGGTCAAAGCCAGGAGGAAAACACGGATAAACGCTCAGGGTGACATTTAAGGCCTTGACCTAGACCTGGCCGTGCAGCGTCTAGATGTGAAATTGGGGATGGGCAGGGCTTGGAGGGGACAGATGGACAGGGACTGCCCCGCTGCTCAAATCTCCTGGGAGATGCAGTCACAGGCTCTGGAGCAGGGGAGGGAGGTCAGTGGACTCAGGTCAGTGGGACCCTGTAAGGCTGATAGAAACCAGAGTGCTTCTTGGATGCCCCTGGTAGGTATGTCACAATAAAGGGGGATCTAGGTGGGGCTTTGATTCACCCTAGGAGCTTTATCACTAAGCCCAACATTCTCTTGTTATAACATACACATGTAGGGCAGAGATGAGCTGACAGTCTTGGTTTAAACTATACAGAGATAAGCCCCAATGCAATAAGGATGAGGTCTATCAGGCCAGTAAGGATTTCTGGGAGCTAAGCCTTTGCCCAGGGTGGTCCAGCATCACCACGGATAAGCCACACCTTTCCCCAGCTGGAATCTGCTGACGGATGAACTGCTGCTGTGTACTGTCCAGCCTTGGACAGAGGCTGAAACACACAACTTGGAGGATGGTGAGAGGGACAGGTGTGTGGGAGCAGGGACTGGTCCTCCTTTGGTATCCCAGGAAGGACCAGCTCCAAGCAAGGGAGCTTCTAGCTCTGCAGGTTTTAGGGAAAATCAGCAGATTGGTGCTGCTTTCTCATCACCCATCAGGTTGACCAGAGCGTGCATGTGGTTCTCCAAGGTCAGCGTCCAGCTTTCCCTGAGATGGGCTCCACTCCAAATTTGTAACACAAAAGCCAGTGATAGAGTCATGGGGGGCAGGGGACCTACACCCTATCATACGGGGCTTTTCCAGTCCTGCTCTGCCCAACCCCAGAGGTATGTTGTTTTTCAAATATTAATGTTTTATTATTGTTTCACTTCTTTGAGAGATTGTAGCCCAGTTATTGGCTATCTGGGTCAAAGCCACAGATCCAACCAGCTTGCTTAGCATGGTGCAGGGATGTGACTGGCAGGCCACTGTGACCACATGCATGGTGCTCAGGAAATGGTGTGGGATGTCTTGGTCCGAGGTTGTATGACACCCTGAGCCAAGGACTTGAGTGCAGGATTCCGGGAGGCTCCTGGGAAAGAGGGGTACAGATGGAAAGTGGGATCCAGATGAGCTAAAGATTATGCCCTGGGCTATGGGGTACGCTCCTGCTGGGGTGCCTGGGGCCTTCCCTGCAGAAAATGGGAGCCTGGGGAGGGCCGAGAGGAGACCATCGCCCAAGGTAAGAAAGTGGCTGCGAGCAGGGAGCTGCGTTGCAGGTGAAGGAATGGACAGAGCTCAGGGCTGGGTCCACAGTGTCTGCACAGAGAATGCGGGGCCTGCAGGCAGCAGAGAGCACCCCAGGAAGAAGAGCAGCAGCATGAGGCGGAGAGCTGGCAAGGGGCCTGCTGCCCGCCCCCCGAGACTCCTTCACCCCACTCCCCCGGCCCAGTCAGCGCACCTCCAACTTTGCCTCAGCTGTGTGAGTTTGATACTGGGGCTCATACGCAAGCTATCCCCACTAAGGTGGAAATGTTGCCACAAGGCCAAACCCTGGAGACTCATGTGGACTCTCTGGGTGGCTGACCAGTGGGATGGGCCTTAGAGAACTCCACCGGGGGCTTGTGAGGAAACTGCTCTCAGGATCTAAATCAGTGGCTGGTCCCAGTTTTTAACATCACCAAAGTGACCCACTCAGTATGTGTTACTGTATAAACACCTTTTATTTGGATGTGGCTACTCAGTAAATATTCAACAGTACTCATCCCAGATAGCTGCCAGGCAAGAGAGAGAAATGGTGGTTTTTCAAGACAACAGGGGAATTAGGAAGTGCAGTCAGTGATGGTGAAGCCAGTTTTCTCTTCGATGACTCCCTGCCCCCCAGTCCCCACCCCAGGAGCAGACAGAAGAAGATAGTAACTGTGAACCCTTGAATTAGCTAAGACAAGTCACTCCACATCATAACTTATTTCATTTCAAAGTGACAGCAGGTGCCTGAAGTTATGGACTATGCCTGATTCGTGAGACTGGTGGCGGAGCCGAAGAGAATGTAGAGAAAAACATTTACTTTGAAACCAAGCACCTCAATGTTACGTTTCTGTGTGCACAACGCAAGCGTTTTTGTTGAGAGTGGCCCAAAAGCCAAATTCTGTCATGTGTCCAGCCTGTGTGAGCCCCTCACTTCAGGGCAGCAGAGTGGGGGTCCTTTCCCCGACTCCTGAAACGTCCTGCGTAGTGTGACAGGAGCCTGGAGAATCCTTGCACAAAACATCCTGCCCACTTTGTTGAAGGTCTTCTGTGGGGGACAAGGGGGCTTCTAGTTCTTGCAGGATGGGGTCCTGGAGGCCTCACACAGGTGTCCTGCAGTTTTCTGAGAGGCCCTCCCCTTCCCCGCTAGTCTCTCTGTATAACAATTTTGTAGTCAATCACTTATTTTCCTGCAAATCCACCCTCCAAATTGGATGCCAAAGCTGGGGAGGGGGGGCACGGCATGGGGGTGGCAGTCTGCTGCACATCAGAGCAGAACCACAGGGCAGGGAAAGGGCTGCTGCTCCGGAGCAGAGGCGGGGAGGCATTGATGGCACCACTTTGGTTTTAGGAAACAAAGACTGAATGTCCCCATACACCTGCCCTGGGGACCCTCAATGCTGAGACAGAGTCTCTATCCAGGTATGATGTTGGTGGATCAGGATTCTCAATGAGGAGGGCTTCGGAGACTAGTTTTCTGGAAGAGCTAGGTTCGCGGTCAGATAATCCTAAGAGCTTGTTACTTTCCCAGGCAAAAGACCATAACAGTCTTTTCAAGTTCATCATAATGAATTAAAAAGTCCAAGAGGATATTCAGAGTGTGATTTCATCACTCAGTCTGAAAAGATCGTCTGTGAGTCCCACTGATGATTTGTCGATCTGCTTATCGTCCAGATGGCAAATGCTGAAATCACCTTTGGGAGCCAATGACCCAGGTTTTAGAAGAGCATTTTGCACAGGGCAGGACTCCTCGGTTCCTCAGTGGTAATAGATGCTGAAGGCGTGGAGGATGTAGAGCAGGGTGGTGATGAAGGCAAAAAACTGGAAGAGGATGAGAGTAACTGTGTCACAGACAGACGGTGCTGGACACTGCCCACCCCTCCAAGGGACCCTCAGCCCCTGAAGCCCAGGTCGTCATGTGCTCTGACCCTGCTGTGTCCCCTGTCTGCCTTAGGGCAGAAGCCACTGGCCAATTGCTCCATCCTCCCTGAAACTGTCCACCATGGGTGTGGCCTACTCATGCCTCAGTTGCAGACTTGTGCTTCCCTACCTGCCATAAAGCAGCTTGTCTCCCTTCCTGTCCTGGGCCCTCTCTCTCATGCTCTCCTCTTGTCAGCGGTCTCCCCCATCACCCTCTGTCACCATCTGTGCTCTGGCAACTCCCCGCAGTTTCATTCACCATCCTAGACTCCACACTGAGAGCCTGTGATCAGCTCCTCAACAAAGCCTCAGAGGCCCCTTCAGCTCTCAGTGATCCAGACTGAGCTCCTGAGATTTCCCCACAAGCTGGACAAACTCAGTTAACTTTAGGACCCTCATCCTGTCCAGCTCCACACACCAGAATCTGTGACCTGCCTCACCGCTTACTCCTCTCTCCTCTACCCACCACAGTCAAAGTCAAAAGTCGTCTGACTGCACGGCCTGACGAGCTCACGGTTTGTCCACGTCTCCCTTGCCAGGGCTCCTCATGGTGTCAACTTGTCCGTTTCTGCCCACTCTGCCCTTCTAATCTGCCTGAAATGAATACATGAGCTTGTTTAACCAGCATGTGATTAAAACCATATGATGGGCCCTGTCCTGATAGCTCAGTTGGTTAAAGCATTGCCCTGATACGCCCAGGTTGCGGGTTCGATCCCTGGTCTGGACACATACAAGAATCAACCAATGAATTGGAACAAATCAATGTTTCTCTCAAATCAATACAAAAAAATCCATATGATGACCCCCACTTCTCAGGTTAGAGGTCATTACCCTTAACATACTTTCAAGGCCTGGCCAAATGCTACAGCCTTTGTCCTGCTGTCCACTCACACTCTGTTCTTATTCACTCATTCATTCAACAAATGTATTTTAGGCATGTGCCTTCAAAAACTATAGGGCTGTAAGAGTGTACATTAAAAAACTCCTGTCCTCCAGGATCAAGGGTCTCCTTGCCAAGGTCTTGAAGCCAGAGCATATCTTGTGTGTTCCAGGGGCAGCAAGGAGGCCAGTGTGGCTGAAGCAGCGGTGCTGGGCCAGGCCATGAAAGGCTGGGGCCTAGTGCTGGGGTGGCAATTGAAGGGAGGTAAAATAGTTCAGTGAGAAGGGCAAGCAGGCAGACAGGCTGGAAAGTCAGCTGAATACTTGTAGCCACCCTAGTGGGTCATGGAGCTTGCATGGCACCCCATTCTTATTCTGGGACAGCACCTCATGCTGTACCCCTTGCTATGTAATCCTATGGGAGCCCCCTATGACAGAGACTTGACCTTTCTGGCCACAATGACTGACCACAGTGACTTGGTCCCAGCTTGAGCACTAGAGCTCTGCCTTGGAAATTTTCAAGGTGTGGTTAAAGATGACGCTTGGGCCTGTTGGAGGAAAAATCTGCTGGCTGTGAGCTTTCTGCCACATGAGGGCGCCATTACACAAAGGGAGAAAGGAGGCCAATGTGCAGAGACTAGGAGGGGAGGCGAAGGTACTTTGAATCTGGTCCTTTGGACCTAAGGTCTGGGGGTCCTGCTTGTCCCACCATTTGGTTGGGCCACCTTGCCTTGGGTCCCATCATCTGATATGTTACCCTTGTGGACTCTGTCACTGAAATAAAAGGATATCTGGACAGCTCAGCCATGCTGAGGAATCTGGGCTCCACTCCACAAGCAGTGAGAGCCACTGAAGGATCTTCAATAGGAGAGGTGTTTTGAAATAAAAAAATATCTGAGGGCAGAGGTAGGAAAAACGGAAGACAAGGGGTGACCCTTGAACTTGGTCCTGGGACATGTGTTCACACATACGTGCACACACAACACACACACACACACACACCCCTCCTCCCGTCCCCCAGGGCTCCATCAGCCCGAGGGATCCCTCCCCATGGGAGGTCAGGTCTCTGGTCCAGCACCCACCGAGGCTCCGGTGTTTATGAAGTAGTTGTTTTGGTCCTGGATCTCAGAGACGATGGTAGCATGGGCCTGCAGGACAGCTGCACTCATGTACAGGATGCCGGTGGTCCCGTGGTACAGGCTGTCCTGGGAGGGCAGAGCAGAGGACACATCACGTGGGCACGTATGCCAGTGAGCACTTTCCTATGAATACACAGCTGGGAAGAGAGGAAAAGTGACCAGCCTGCTCCCCAGTTCCTGCTTTTTTTTTTTTTTTTTTGCAGTGTTTCTAATGAAATACCTATGTAATGAATAATAATGGATTAATAAACAGCAATAGTAATATCAAAACTAGCCAACATTGGTTGAAAGCCTATTCTGTGCCAAGTTCTAGGTTAAGCCTTTTTCTCATTTCTCTCATTTAACTTTGTCAGAGAGGAGATCGTTCCTATTTATTACTAGTGGCATTTCTAGGAAACGGAAGCAAGGTTCAGGTCAATGAACAAATACCTGAGCTCTGGCTGGGTTGCTTGGTTGGTTGGAGTGTCACCCCATGCACCAAAAGATTGTGAGTTTGATTCCCAGTAGGGCACATACCCAGGCTGCGGGTTCAGTCCCTGGTTGGGGTATGTATGGGAGGCAACTGATCGATGTTTCTCTTTTTCTTTCTCTCTCTCTCAAAATCAATAAACTATCCTCAGGTAAGGATTATAAATAAATAAATAAATAAATAGTTTAATCAGGATTTGAACCCAGGTCATTTTAACTCCAAGTCTATGCTCTTAACCATTAGTGTTATGAAGACCCACTGTGTGCTGGGCACTGTCCCAACAATACACATATGTTGTCTCATTTCACTTCACAGCTAATTTCATGAGGCTGCTCTATTATTATCTCTGTTTACAGAGAAGGAAGCTGAGGCTATGCTCACACATGGTAGAGTTGGTAGGGCTGGCTAATCGGATTTAAGATTTGAGTATTGGAACCTCTACGCTAAACTCTGAGCAGTGTTCTTTAGCTCAACAAGAATGTCATGCAGCCATTAAAAATTGTTATCATTTCTGGAAGGAGTGTCATCATAGGCAAACTGGCATTTTGCAACTCTGAATGGAATATTAGGCTCAGGAAAACTCATCAGAAGATGAAAAAAGCATTAGAGCAGAAGTTGGTAGGATAAGACTGTCACACTCTCCGAGAGAAGGACCGCCGGACACTGTGTGTGATGTGAGTGGAAGTCACTTATGAAGCACTCTTGTCAGTAAGTTTCAACCCATTTTCAATAAACGTTTAATACTAACTTCCAGCTTACATAAAATTTAGGGACTAGAGGGATGAGTCACATCACATCAGGAAGAAGCAAACAGACAAATCCAAAAAAGGGGGACCTCATACAGGACAACTGACCTGGTTTCTTCAGTAGGTCACTGGCAGAAGGAGTCATTCTAGACTAATGGTACCCAGGAACTGTGACTGCCAAGTGTGACACATGGCCTTGCGGAGGATTCTGACTCAAACAACCAACATGAAAAAAAGATGTTTCAGGTATGACTGGGGAAATCTGAGTGTGACCTGGGCATTAGATGACACAGAGGAATTACTGTTAACTTTGTATACGTGTAAAAATGTAAGAAAGCTGAATATTTTTGGAGGTATAGTGAAGTGTGTGGAATGGAATGACATGATGTTTGGGGTTTGCTTTAAAATTCTTCAGGGCAGAACAAAAGTAAGGTGAGAAAGTGTGGTAAATCTTTATAATGCTGGAATTGGGGTTATGGTTACATGAGGGTCTGTAATATAACCCTCTATACTTTTGTGTATATTTTAAGTTGTTCAATATAGAAAAACTTTAATGGTTATCAATATGCTGTGACAACATGAAAAAATTAATGATGTAATAGTAAATTAAAGAATCTACACCCAAAATTATTGGTTCAGTGTGATTAAAATATATACACATTTTGCACAAAATTTGTGAGGAATGTGGAAGAATGAACCCAGTGATTGTGACAGGACCTTGAGACTGGGGTGACTTTTCTCCTGCTAGCATTTCCTTCTATGTTGCTCTACTGGTTTTACCCAAATAAAATTTTGGGGAAATGTGTCAGGATGTGCTGGAAACAGGAATATAGTCAACCCTTGACTGACACAGATTTGAACTGTGCAGGTGTACTTACACATGGATTTTTTTCAATATATAGTGTAAATGTATTTTCTCACCCTTATGATTTTCTTAATAACATTTTCTCTAGCTTAATTTATTTTAAGAATATAGTATATCATACATATAGCACACAAACTATGTGTTAATCAACTATGTTATTGGTAAGGCCTCTGGTCAACAGTAGGCTATTAGTAATTATTTTTAGGGAGTCAAAAGTTATAAGTAGATTTTCAACTAAGTGGGAGCTTGGGCTCCCTAAGCCCGTGTTGTTTAAGAGGCAGCTTTATACAAAATGTGTCTGTGCCTATCAAGAAAGGCACAGGAGGGGAATGCAACGGGATTTGCTCCTGCAAAGCAGTGCATTCATTCCAGTTTAGTAGTGAACACATTAACATAAAACGTCTTGGTTTTATGGGAGCCTAGCCCCAAAAGTTCTCTGTTTCTCCCTCTATACCCAGAAGGCCCATTGTCCCTACAACACCCAGGACACCAGTCTGGGAGGAGCCCAAGGACCTGAGTCCCCTTGCTGGTTCTTACCAGGACTCTCCAGGACTCAAATCTCTTGTAAAATCCAAGCAAGTAAGACAACAGGAACATGAGGGAGATGAGGAACGAGGTCAGTGAGACATACATCACCCATCCTTGCAGCAGTGGGTTTGCCACTTGGGTGGCAGCCACCAGGATCCAGACCCAGAATCCAGATGCCTGTAAAAGAAAACCATTGAAGGAGAGGCTTCATTTGCTTGTGTGGGGTGCATTTCCATATGCAGGGTCTTTCTCCTCTGTCTCTGTTAAAAGCTCTTCAGGTAAAGTTAGACGGAAATCGAGGGAAATGGGGAGGAAGGCTGGCCCCCTCAATCAGAGCACAGTTTGTTAGAAAAATCCAAGGGCAGAGATTGCCCATAGAAGGACTTGGCTAAATTTGGCCTCTGGACATGTCTTCTTGGCCCAAACAGTGTTGGCATCTACTGTTTTTCAAATGTGTCTGAATGAATAACCAACATTTAAAATAAGACATCTCACATGAGAAATCCAGATTTCAGACATTTCTTGAGAATTCCATAGTTTTGGCTAGAGTGAACCCAATTTCCAGGCAAGAATAGGCTGAAATGAGTTGTGACTGTCTCTTAAAAAATGACCTAGCATCCTCAGTGAACCACATCCCTCTCCCCTGCAATCCCACACCATTGGGTGTCACATTCTGTCGCTCACTTTCACTGTGGCAAAGTACTCTCCTTCTCCTGGCTCCATTCACCCACTGACAGTGCCTGCCTGGCCCTGTGAGCACTTGGTTTTGTGCTCCTCCCCCCACCAAGTTATAGTATCTAAGGGTCCACTACCAGCTGGACAATACAGTTCCAGTTCAATCACCTCTCAACTGTGTTCAGCCATTTATTGCCCCCTTGGTGGAGAATGAAACCTTTCCCTTCTGCTCTGGATTCCACCTTTGTTTACTTTTGGCCTGGGCTTGTACCCCTGTTGGTGAGCCCAGGGGAGGAGCTACATGTCCACAAGATGCATATCTAGTTAGAAGCCAAGAGGAGAGGATCAACAAGATCTCCAAGTGGTTTTGTTGTTTGTTTGTCTCTGGTTCTTTGAGTAACTCTCCTTCCTGGGGGCTCCTTAGGATGTCCTTACTAGCCTCCTCATTCTCTCTCTCTCTCTCTCTCTCTCCTCCTTTTATGTATTAATTTATTTTTAGAGAGAGGAAGAAAAGGAGAGAATCATCTGTGTGTGGTTGCCTACTGGGGATCTGGCCCACAACCCAGGCATGTGCCCTAGACTGGGAAACGAACTGGTGATCCTTTGGTTCACAGGCCAGCATTCAATCCACTGAGCCACACCAGCCAGGGTCCTCCCTCTCTTCACTCCTGTTAAATCTGTGCTTTAAAGGACCACATAGGCTGGATCCCAGGAACCCACTGCCAGTCCATTTCTCTCAGTGGTCTTCAACCCCACATATTTACCCATTCACCTACCAAATGCCTCTATTCTCTGTAGGGGCCACCCCTGCACTTGCATGATGCTGAAAGTGAGTTCTTATTACATTTTGCACTCAGGCACCTCACTTGCCTCAACTGGCCCTATTCCTCAAGTTCCCCAAATCCTACAGGTACAAAATCAGAACTCATTGTCACTCCCAAATTCTTTCAGAAACCATCCATCATCTGCTGAGAATGACCCTCCTGAGGAAGAAAGAGCTATGGAATTGAAAACGGGTGTACAGAGGCCTCCAAAGATAGTGAAAATATTCCACTGCTTGCACTGCACAGTGAGCACACATGATCTTATATTTTACAAAGTAATAAAAGTAATTTGAAAAAAAGAAGAACTTGTTGGATATGATCACTGTAGATTTGGAGCAATGGCAGGGAGCCAAGGATGTCTCCTGGGTTTGTAGTTTGAAGAAACCACATTATCAGATTTTGAACTTTCTACAGAGTCATTGTAATCAAAAGAGATGTCAGTGCAGGTGATACATTTCTGACCATCTCAGAAGACAGCCCACTTCTTTCCTAGGTCTGTTGCCTTTCTACATAAAGTTAAAATCAACTTGTCAATATCTGAATGGGATTTTGATTACGTTGAATCTAGAAATCAATTAGGAGAGAACTGACATCTTTTCTATATGAGTCTTCCAATCCATGAACATGGTATACCTCTCCAATTATTAAGATGCTCTTTGAATTTTTTAAATCAATATTTTATAGTTTGGGGCATTACAGGTGCTGGGCATATTTTCTTATATTTATGCCTTAGTATTTGATTTTGGGGGAGCTACTACAAATAGTATTGTTTAGCATTTAAAAAAATTCCCTATTGTTCATTGCTAGTGGATAGAAACAGGGTTGATTTTGAGTGTTGACAGTGTATCTTGCAATTTGGTGAGGTCACTTATTAGTTTGAGGAGGATTTTTATTTTTGTGTTTTTGGTGGTGGTTTGATATATTCTTTGGGATTTTCTATGTATGATTACTAATGAGATTAGGCTTATTTTCACATAATTATTTTTCTGTGAAATTTTTTATTTTTTCCAAATATCTTATAAGTTTGCCTTTTCATATTGACTCACAGAGGTTCTTTTTAATAGTATGGCTCTCACTGACTATTATAAACATAACAAATGCATTCTGCCAAGCATGTCTCACACATACTGTGGTATCTTTTGATGTGGTATCTTTTAATTTTAATGTGATTAAATATGTTAGTCTTTTCAATTATACACTGTTTTTTTGGGGTCAAGGTTAAGAAATCCCTCCCTACCTTGAGTTATGAGGATATTCTTGCATTTCAGATATTCCTTTGGGAATATTTTTTTTCTGAAGTACAACCAGTCTTTCTTCCAGTCTTTCTTGTAAATTCTAATTAGGAAACATTACATTCAGCATTATAGTACTCATAATGACTACTTTCAGAAGAGTATAACAGCTTCTTTGCCAGTTAAGGGGTATGGAAGGTACAGCTGTTTACCTGAGTGTATTCTTGAAAAGAAATCTTTTATTAATGTATTGATATTTAGAGAGAAAGAGGAAGGGGAGAGAGAGAGAGAGAGACATCAATTTATTGTACTACTTCTTGTAGGTGCCCTGACCGAACCCAAAACTTATGTCAGAAGACGCTCTAACCAACTGAGCTACCCAGTCAGGGCTACCTGAATACATTCTTAAATAAGTGACTACTACCACGCTAATTTCCCTAGGTGTAACTCTGTTAGAGATTACTGACCTCAAGTTCATGTTCCAGACTGACTTTGCCAACACAGATTAACTACAAGGGAGCCACCCTCACAGTCTTAGGATGAACTGGGAAAGGGCCAGTTAAGTGAAGAAACAGGCCAACCCTTGGTAAAAGTTTTTACTTTTCCTTCCCAATACATCTTTTTATTGAGGACGTCCATTTTTACCCTGTGTTCCTCCTCTGCCATCTCATACTCTGCCTCTATCTGCTGGATTTTGGCCACATGCATCTCATTCATTTGAATCAGCTGCAGTTTTAAGATGGGCCTTTGGTGACGGTGCTCTCTTCCTCATGCATCTGTTTAAAAGCACCCACCTGAGAGGTTTTTGCTCCTGTACTTTTATTGGTTGTCATTCTGACAGCTGAACACCAGGGTTCCGGTTGAGAGGCCCCCTCACATATTGGAAAATGTATAAACTCTTCTCATCGCACAGTTCTCTGTCGGAAAGGGCATACGATTCTTGGGCTGCGGCCTCTCCGGCTCTTCTCCCGGCGCGCTCTGCGATCTTCTCCTTCCCTAGGACGTGGGTTCTTGGAAGCCTGCTGACACTCCGTTCCACTTTCTCTCTCCCTTCATGGGCCATAATTTTTTTGGTTCGAGCCTTGATATATTCCTAGCACTTCTTCTTTTGTTTGAAACTCTTAGTGACACGTTTGGCTGAGAGTAGTATTCGTGAGCAAGCGCCTGCTGGGTACATCGCTCGAGTGCCGTAGTCCGCGCATCACTTTTCTTTCATTCCAGCACATACCTGTGACTTTTCAACTAAAGCAAGCAGGATACTCTCACAATTCTGGAAAGTATCTGGCAGGTTTTTTCTTTGTTTCGCATTTTCTATTCAATGTCTCCTGGCCGTTAGCTATCCTGGCCGCGGCGCGGCAACAGGGAGGCCCTCGAAGCGCATCAAGCGCGGCCGGCTCCTCTCGCAGGCTAGGCCGCCGGGAGGGCCGTGGGCTCCGGAGCGCCCGGCGCCGCGGCCCCAAAGCCTAGGAGTCGCCGACTCCTTGCGGGCCGCCCGCCGCCCTGGGTCCGTCGGCCATGGAGGTCGGAAGCGCGGCGACGGGCAGTTGCCACCTCCCCGACCTGTGGCCGCAGGTCGTTTCTTTAGAAAGGTCAGTTGCTGGTCGGCAGTTTGATTTATCAGAAAATGTCCTTACTCCTGCCGCATGACCGATGTTTGCTGTCATCGCTTCTAGATGCTTTCCTTTTGTGCTCTGGGTCCTTCCACACATCTTTCCAATGTGACCGGGCCTGCGCTGTTGCTGCGGTCAGCTGAACTGCCCCTTCGCGGGCCAAGTCCTCTGGTTTCGACTGCTTTCTGAGTCCATTCTCTCTTTTATGTTCTGCGGCTTCTGCCGTGGTGATACAGTGTGTTGAGGTGTGGATAGCTTCATTAATTTTGCTTGTATTCATTTTATATTCAGTATGTGATCATTCCATTAGCTCAGGTTTGGTAGCCTGCATCTGCAGTGTGTGGTTTTTTGTTAATGTTCAGCCCAGTTCACGTTTTCCTTACTATGTTTAGTGGATTTTGGTTGTGAGCACACGATGTGGAGGCAGGTCAGTTCTGAATGACACTATCAGAGACCCTATGGACTAAAGATGCCACTTCTGTCCAGCTTGGCTAAAAGATACACACTTTTGGGTTCAGCTTTTCATAACATATCCCAACTTTCTGGGACAAGCAGTTCTCATCTTGCAAAAAAACCCCACAACATGTCAACCTAGATATGTAGCATATTCTTGACGAGGCCGCCACTGCCGTTGTCCTGGAGAGGAAAGTGCTTTTGAATTTATGGAAAATTAATGGGCTCTTAAGGGGGGAAAGGGATCGGGAGGTTGACCACAAGGCAAAGGCTCTTACAGGGCTAGGCAACACCTCCAGAAGCCTGGCATCTCTTGAAGCACCCCCTCTGGGAGACCTTAACAGCTAGTCTCCTAGTGGATTTTGGAAGTCCTAGGCTGGGCC